AAGTCTTGAGGATTCTTCAACTGGTTGTTTTCACTTCCTTCGCCGTTTCCACCAACAATAACATCTCCCTGTGTTGCATCCTTGAACCAACGCATAATTCGATGATTGTTATTGTCTGCAACATAAACAGTACCTGATGAATCGACCGCTACTCCGTCAGGATTGGACAATTGCATTAAATCATTTCCATAGCCTTCATCACCAGCCACAACAATTCCTTCTTTTGCATTCTTTGCCCACTTAACCACACGATGATTGCTGTTATCGGATACATACAGGGAACAATGTTGATCAACACAGATGTATGACGGCAAATTGAGTTGATAGAGACGATTCCCCATTCCATTACCACCTGCTACTACTGTCCCTGTTGTCTCTTCTGCTCGATATCGTCTGACATCATGCTCTTCATTATCAGAGACGTAGAGAAATTCTTGATCGTCCATCGTCAACCTTGAACACACGATATTCGAGAGAACTGTTTCTCCACGTGTACCATTTCGACGAGGCCATCGTGTTACTCGTCGATTTCCTGCATCACAAATGATGAGATTGTCGTTGTTGACAAAGATATCTGTTGGTCCATCTAATTGATTAGTTCGATGTCCTACTCCCTTTCCGTCTTGACCATTAGTAGCATTATATTTCCACTCTACTATGCGATCATTTTTTGAGTCAGCGATATAGACAGTTCGATCTTCACCCACATAGAGACCTGTGGGACTATTGAGTTGGTTCAATTCACTGCCACTTCCATGACCCCCAGCTACAGTGATACCAGCTTGCTTCCATTTGGCATTGACATGAATATTTGGAACAGACATAAAATGAAGAAATGCCAAATATAATTGGAAGGTAGCATAGATAGTCAAGTGAACACGATGCTATGCACTTTATACGATCACAACGTATTAAGGTTTCTTTTCTAATTTTTATTGGGATTTTTGAATTATTGTCTAAAATCATATGCTCAGTATCTATAGACTCCTACATGTTGAATTACTACAGTTTATGTTTTTATATGACTGTACGAATAAAGTCATAGGTAGAGAAATCTTTCAAAATTCGTGCAGAGCTACTGTCAATCAAAGATATTTTCAACATGCTGATCTTCCCTTTCTATCACAAATCATAATAAATATGTTACAATTCTTGTTAATGATTAAAGTGGTTTGCTCGTATTTTTCACATAAATCTGACAGGAACTTGCTAAAAGTTTTTCTTAAATATTCGAAGGCAGAAAAAATTGTGAATTCGAATGCTTCTCAATTCTAAAATATAAGAAAATACATTGCTAATGTTAAAAGGTTTAATAACAAACTGCAGTTGACACTATCACTTTTGATAGTATTTTAGATTATCAAGAATGCTATTCAGAATTAATGCATCACCGATTATTCTTCAACGCTGTTCAGGGCAAGCTGTACATATAGATTCTTGGTGTTGAAGTCTTTTCAAATTCTTAGAATCTGCTGAACCGAATATGCAGATCTTGAGATTACATATACGAATCAAGACCAGAATTGGAAATGAAAGATAGTTCTCAATGGACTGACACTAGAAGAACAAAACTCTACTAATCTTATTAGAGAAGAGTATGATAAAGGAATAATATTCACAACCTTTTCAACGTTCAAAAATTTTCAATGATTTTTGGCGAATATGGAATCAAAAGAAAATAAAAATCGACAATGAAAAGAGGCGGTCAAGAGAATTTTCTAAACCTTAACACTGATATTCTGGAAATTTCCGAAAAGGAAAGATTAGACAGAGTCCTATATGATCAGACTCGCAAGTTGAATCAAGTCAATTGAGTATTTTAAAAAGGTCGAATTCTACTACATACTATTTTATTGATGAGAAGAAATTGAGAAAAATATTTCTTTCAAATATAAGTGAATATTCTCTTGCATTTATTGAAATTACGTTATTAGAACTTTTCTTGTAACGATTAAAGATTGTTATACAACTACTTGATATCTTACTTTCTCTTACACTCATTCATTAGTATAAGACTTTTTTCTTGATTATTTTACATGTATGTATCATACAAAAAGGTTCATTTCATTGAGAAAAAAATATTAAATAACTTACCTGATGGTGATATTTGATCATTATTTTCATCAGTTTCAATTAAATGAACGACGTATCCACCGTGTTTTTGTACTAAAGGATCGCTCTTTACACGAAATCGTGATCCCATTCGTAGAATAATTTCATTTTCATTTTCAAATTCTGTATATCCAGAAATTTTCTTTCCATTAATAGCTTCGATTAGAAAAAGTGTTGTATTGTCGCTGTTTCCAAGAAAATTTTTAATAACGTCAACTGATGATGAACATGAATTAATACTCCACCATGTTACAATTTTGTTCACAGTAAAATTCTTGCCAATATCCATAGGTATACCTCTCCATACTACCTCTTTTACAGTAGGTAACTTATCCAATGCTGAATCAAATAATTTTAAGTATGGAAACCATATTTTTAATGCTTGTCGATCTTCAGATCGCAATGCTTTATTTAATGTACGTTACAAAGCAGTATCACCCCATTCCATTGTATATATATAAATAGCAGCTGATTCATCATGTGTAAGTCCATGTTCTGACGGAAAATGACAGTTTTTTTTAGCTATTTTTATGTAATAAGGTAGTTGATCAATATGAGATTCGATAGGTTCTAGGACTTTTTCAATTGAAACAAAGTTTACACTACGATAACCATAAACAGGTGGAAGTCGTTTAATTGAAAGATCGATATCAGCAAATCGATTCATGATGTAAGTGTTCTATATTCTATTGAATGACGATGAAAGTACAATGAATTTTTGATTTACTGTTCTACATGAAATTATAAAATCATATATTACGAGTACTTCTGCTATTTTTTAATAGTCATCTGTTTATGAGACGAACAAGAAGACTACTAATAAACATTGTTAGCAGGAAGGTCGGGTCGACTTTTACAATTAGTTTTAAAAAAACTGATCTACTTTTCTTCAGCTGATTTGGTCAGATGTTTTCATCAATTTTAAATAATATGACATGGGAACATGAAACAACTCATTTTCGCTTTACTTTGCATAGTTGAGTACTTTTCTAACTGAAGTTCATCCCAAACAATTAACTAGCCTGAAAGATTCTGTACAAGATTTAAATGGAAGAGTAACGCGTTTGATAAAAGTCATATTCATTTAATAGAGAACTTTGCATGTTCTATTTTTCAGTTGGATATAAAAACTTTGTATAAAATTATTTTCAAAACTTCCAAACTCAATCGTTTCTTTTCGAGAAATAGTAACTGTATATGTATAAAGATATTTCTTACTTGTAGTTAGAAGAAAAATATCGAATAGGATCTATTTATGTTACAAGAAGCAATGTATCATAGCGTATCCTATACTATAAATTTATTATATTAATGCTTTTTATTACAGGAGGTCTATAAACTTCTTTTTTTTTATAGATGATACTAGTAGTGTGCATTCTACTAATGGTAGCTAATACTTTCTACTGTTGGATTTTGATACAATTATCAATCGATATGTAAATTCCACAAGTCATCAGATGTAACATCTTACATCACAATCGTAAGGTATTTTTACTATTACTCTTGTTTTTTTTGACCGTAGTCAAAAGATAGTTCTTTATGTCAGATAAAAAACTTTTTCGTTCAATGATCGTTGTAAAAGACACTAGAATGAGACTTTTCTCAACTATATGAGTTATTGATTTCTGAAATTGCGTGAACTCAAAGAATCAATGACATTCATAAAACTCATACATGGGACAACATGTAAGTTTCATTATCTGTCTCAATCATTTCCAATATTCATAGCATCTTCACCCTACATATATATATATGACGTTTAAGATGGTTTAGTTTCACTTTCAAGTTTACTTAATAATTTACTCACTACAGTCAAATAGTTGAAGTTGAAATTTTGTGAGTGACTTCGGATTATGTTATTGTTGATTGGAAGGTTTTTTTTGCGTATTTCACTATCGACTTTTTTTTTGAATAAGATGTTTATTTCTTTTTGCAACATGCCAACACCTTCTCTTCTATTTTTGTCTACTTTACCTCTTTATTTTTCTTTTCTATTTAATTTTTTCAAATACGCATTTTGTTGACGACAACGGCACATAGCAACAGTAAACTGAATGACAATTGAGGAGAAAGAAGCGTAAAAAGAAATCAATACTTGTCGGGTGCCTTCAAGTTCACAAGGAGCACGTAGAGCAATATTTATTCTTTTGGATTTGAAATCATTGAAAGTTAGTTAAAGAGTAAAAGTCAGACATTTTATTGGATCTCTATTCGATTATCTATTTATGAATAATAATTCTCAGAACTATCTTGAGGGTGTGGGGGTGAGGAGGATGTCCATGTGTGTGTCATTTTCTTGTTAATACATTCACCCACACCCACATTACATATTTATTTGGAAACATATAATGAATTAAAAAGAACAAGTGATACTTATGTAATGAGCTATTTGAGTTCAATAAACACTCATCAATAGTGATGCATTATATGAAAAACTTCGTTGCAGTTGCATCGTCACTGCGTTGCAATTCGACTGCGATCAAAAATATGGGCAGAACTTCATATGACTACACCGACAATCATTTTAATCACCGTGATTAGTGCAAGTATTAAACTCAATGACAATTTTGAGTTTCTTCACATCTCAATTAAAATCCATGCCAATCTTAACTCCCAATTTTTCCCTTTAGTTTATTCATATTCTTACTGTCATCCTTTCACACTGATCTAACTGGGTAATAATATCACTAAATCGCGGCCGAAGGCATCGATATGAAGTTGGTATTAATTTTTTATTCGTATGAGAATTTTCGATCATTATACAATCATGTGCAACTGGATACCATGACTATTCAAGCAGATGCTACAGGGCAAAACACAAAAAAAGATTATTCAATAGTCTTGATGATATCATAAACATATAGCCTATCAAGGATATTATTATACAGTTCCTTGAATGATTTTTTAAGATAATTTAATTGAATTAAATCTCATGTATTATTACATTTATATATAGCGCATTCTACTATATAATGATGCCTTAGTTCTCGTTCATGTACGATAAATAGGATTTCTATTTATGATATTTTTGTTTAAGAGCTATTATAAATCGATTGTTTTTTCCATTGTTATATTGTTGGGAAGATTTTCACATATCGTTTCTATATTGCATTTCTTTGTTTGTTGAATCATAGCTCTTCAGATCCTTCGAATTTTTCTAACGTTAAACAAATACCACTTGACATCTTGTGTTTGATGATTCATTATCTGATGTATAAATAATAAATAGGTGATTGCTGTTTTCCTAGGAATTTCCTTTTATTATGAGAACATTTGAATATCTTTGTTAGTTGGCAGGAATCATTCTTCCATTCTTACTGGTCGCTCACGTATGTAAATATGTATTGAAAAATTTTGACACTATAATTATCGATATACTTTCATTTTCTACCTGTTAAGATTTAAATATTATATACTTGTCTGAATAAAAACTCACATTTCGTGTTACTTCTATGCGAGAATCACACTAAGTTAAAAAGAATATTTCATAATGTAAGATTTTCGTAATAAGGAGAAAGTGAGAGTAGGAATAAAAATAAACCGCTTCAAAATAAACAGTTATTTTGTGTTTTCTCATGACGCTGATCATTTGAATCAATATGATATTATTATATGAAAATCCTTCCTCAAATCAATAGACACACCAATACTTGAATAGCTAAAAAAATAGTATTAACGGACAGCATCTTCCTTACATGAAACTGCATGAAGAAGAAAAAAAAACAGAGAAAGAAAGAGTATGTCGATTAAATATAGATTTCAATTGTTTTTGTATAAGTAAAAGAGTAACTTATCGCTTGATGAGAATAAGTTGCAAACTAATACAAGGTCATGTGCACTGTGGATTTGATGAATAAGAAAAAGAATATTGACGTCAATGGAGATGTATGATGCTTCATTCTACTTTATCGAATCCTTTTTCTTTTTCTGTTCTTTACTCTTATATACTCTCCATAAATTGCAATATTATGACGACAATGAGTCATATCGTTCTATGACACTCGAATAATGAGAGAAACAACATGAAGAAGTGGGGAAAAACGAAGAAAAAAGCGTGTCCCTTACTGTACGTATATATTATGCATGCTTTTCTGCACATTGGATAGATGTAAGTTATTATTGTTGATGTTCAAATCCTTGAATAGACCTTGTGGTGCGAGAACGTCGATTGTAGAGATATTCTAACATTGAACAGCTTTGTCCACAGTTTATCAAAAAACCATCATTTTCTTGATTAACTAATCTTGTTCTACTTTTTCTTAAAGATGGATACCTTTTCATTGGCTCAATTTTTCCAGTTGCAGACTGTACCATTATCAAATAATGGTATCATCGCAATGATAGATTCGTTGATAAGTGAACCTGTTAACGACGGTTATGGACCATGCAAATATATGTGGGCTGGTAATAAAAGATGTTCATGTAATGGATATTTGAGAGGAAACGAACATCCAATATGCGAAACATGTGGGCATTCATTTCAATTACACGCTTGATGAGCAATGAAGTATCATATAGTCAAGAAAAAAACGTGAACTACTTCTAATACTTTGTACTCTTCTGATACTCCTTAGAAAATCCCGGTTATTTCTCAGACTCTGCTTTATACCTCGACTGTTTTGAAATGCTTCGATTTTATTAAGAATAAGAGGAGTTTGCCATTTATAGATGACATTGATTGGGGAAGAAAAATTTTTGATTGGTAATTAACACTGTCCTGAAAAACATGAGGTGTGGGTGTGGGATAGAATCTGTCGAGTTCAGGATGTTCGAAGCCCCATCTGAACCCCTTCACAGTGAGCTATTTGTAAAACAAGTGAACACCTAAAAGGTTGGAGCATTAGAAAAATTTTCCGACGTATACTGAATAGTTCAATTCACGAACATTCATATCTTTTGCCTGTGAATAGATCTACTCAAATTACATACATACTGAAAATATTAGACTGTTGTTATTCTGATTAAGAAAAATGGTACATACGAAAAAAGTAAATATTTGGTAACTTTGGCGATTCATAAATTTCTGTTAGAATGATTCCAGGAGAGTTATTGAAAAACATTTAAAACAAATAAGCTCTTTTCTGATAGAAAATGTTTCAAAGTTCTCCTAGAAATTCTTCAGAAGATTCTTTTTATTTTGAAAAGTCAACTGGATTTTTTTTATTTTAATAGATAAAAAAGAATCAGAATAATAATTAACAAAATATATAATATAATATATAATATCATTGCTTTTAGTTCCCTCTTTTAATTTGAATGGATGTGGTTGTGACTGTAAACTGTTTTTGTTTCACTAATTGCACCCACATTCACACTCAATGAAATGAACTGTAGGAAACTATTATTATATTTGAAAAAGGTACTGAAACATTGAGTGAAGACGTAGAATGTCTAAATACTTAATTAATTAAAGTTCATAATCAGCTATAGAAGTTAAAACAAAATACTTCAAATGTGAAGTTACATATACTAAAGAGGGGCGCACTTTTAATGAAGGAATGACACGAAATCTAGGAGTCTAAACTTAAAACGTTTTAAATCATATGTGATATGTCTTCCGATGGCACATTTTTTATGAAAAGTTACAAACTTTCGACAGCAAATGTTACATGTCGATATTCTTGTTTTATTGAGTGAAGAATGATGTGTCATAATGGAATAATCACA